TATTTCTGAGAAATAGAAACATTTATAGAAATAGAAAAATAGAAATATTTCAGAGAAATATTTCTGAATGATTTCTATCTTACATTACACTATTAATTTCCAAGTTATATCCCAGATAGCACCGAATGTTCCATGAATGTTTGTATATGATTCGAATGTTCTCTCTCAGGAATATTCGCATGGATCTGCCGTGAATGTTTCTAGAATGTTCTTCATATTCTATGAATATTCACACAGAATGCCCACGGAATATTCGCATTAAATGTTCCCTGAGTGTCTATGGCATATTCTGAATGTTCTATGAATATTCTTACAGAATGTACGTGGAATGTACACATGGAATTTTCTACGGATATTCTTACTGAATATACGTGGAATATTAGCAGCGTATGTGCTACGAATGTTTATGGAATGTTGTAAATGTGCTATATGAATATTCGCATAGAATGTACGTGGTATATTCACGAACTTCTATGTATATGAACATACGCAGTATGTTCCATTATGTTCTAGGAATATGCTAAGCATGTTCAAATGATAATTGGTGTTTCTGGGCGCTGCTTGCTATGCACCCAAAAAAAATTCTATTCATAAGCGGGGAAATCCTCTAAGCATTTCCTCTAAGCAAAAAATCTTATATGAAGCATTTCTCACTTACTTTAACACATATTCAGCTATAAAAGAGTAGACTCATAAGTTATAATTAAGATTAATTTCCTGTATAGAAAATTCCATTACAGTAATACGACTAGCCTCTTGAAATAAGAGGATACGCAAGATATTCGCGGATACGCGAATCGCAGCACGTGCGCCAGCCTCTGAGTAGTTCACCGACCGCCGCTAGGCCGCGCATGGTGGCGGCCAAACACTCGGAAGCAAAATTCAGTCTCGTAGGGTATAAAAGGAGGCCCGCGAGACTGAATTTTGTTTCCGAGTTTTTGGCCGTCACCATGCGCGGCCTAGCGGCGGTCGGTGAATACTCAGAAGCTGGCGCTCACGCGCCCGCGCGCGTGTCGCGTAGTGCCGGTTGCCAATTTGTGCCGGCTAAAATCAAGAGGGAACCACTAAAAAAATAGAATACTTTTCTTTGGGTGAAATATCTACAGCACATTACTGGAATATTTGCTGTATATTCCAGTTCATCCACATTCATAGAAATATCTACAGCACATTACTAGAATATTTGCAGTACATTCGTGTACATTCGTAGCACATTCAGATGAACATTCTAGAAATGTTTCTAGAACTGTTGAAGTGCTCCGTTGGTACATTCTATAAATATGCCTCGAACGTATAAAACGACTATTAGAAGATTCCTGGAATCTTCGAATGTTCTTGGCGTATATTCCTAGAATGTTAATGGAATGTTTTTGTGCTATTTGGGTTAATTTCCAAGGTATCTTTTGGAAAGCTTTCAATGACATGTGATTTTCATGAAACGTTTCAAAGATATTTCTGAATGATTTCAATTTTACATTTCAATATTAATTTCCAAGTTATCTTTCGGAAAGCTTTCTGAAACTTGTTTTGCTGTGTGGGGATCTCTTCGAACGTTTTCAGAAAATTCACTCTTTTAGCCTTTTCGACATTCAGATTATCGAGCTGGGCCCATAACCTGTGGGATAACTGAGAGGGATTGCGAAGTAATCCAAGCTCGCTTTTCTTAGATCGTAACACACGTTCTTTATTATTCCTGTGTACAACCGGGCGACGACGAAAGGGCAGACTAGACTGACTAACTGACTACGTAAAAGAAAAAAGGGGGGGTTGTCGCCATAGACAATGCATAGAAAGGAAAACTTACACATATAACATGAGACAATAGGTGTCGCCATAAAAACCGAACTGACATACTAACAGAACCAATCTGTCTTATCCTTTGACTGGTTATATAGTCAAAGGTCTTATCACTTTTTGGTTGGTCACTAGCAAATGAAAAAAAAAACCCTATACATATAAATGGATAAAGCGGAGGGACCCATCTCTGATACTTCCCTTAATAATGTGTTTGTTAGAATATCTCTGGAATCTTATCTTAATTTTATTTCGTATATTCATTAAATGTAATAATGTTAATACATTTCTATTATATTGAATTCTTATTTAGGAAGTCAGATGTGCCTATATTGTGCTGCTGGTAGCTGGGTACTGGGTCACAGAATGTCTACCGATAGGAATCACATCATTAATACCTGTAGTGCTGTTTCCACTATTCGGTATCCTTAGCACTCAAGAGACATGCATATGCTACATGAATGATACAATCATAGTCTTTATTAGTGGTCTGATACTTGCTATCGCCACTGAGCATTGCAACCTGCATTTGCGGATTGCTTTGATCGTAATGAAGGCACTTGGATGCAGTCATGCAAAGCTACTCGGTGGTCTTTGCACCGTAACCACTTTCATATCTATGTGGATTGCAAACGCAGCAGCTACCGCTATGATGGTACCCATTGCTTTTGCTGTACTTCACGAATTGGAGAGGGTTGGTGCATTTGAAAAGTATTATATAAATTGTGCGTTTTTATTATGCAGCTTAGACAGTGTAATAAAAACAAATAATTCTAAGCAAAAGAATAATTATTCTTGTAATATGATAATTTTGTGTTTAATACAATTTAAAAAATATTAAATTTTATTTTAAAGACTCAAAAACATTCTATTACATTACAATTGGAAGAAATAAAATTTTATAAATTTAAAAATTTTGATAAATTTAATAAATTAAAATATTTAAAAGTAAGTACTCATAAGTACCATTGAATCTATCACAATATTTTAGTATGATATAAGTTTATATTTATAGTTTATTCGACCCCAAGGAAAAATATTCTTTATGATTTTACGAAAGAGAGAAATTGTGGAGTCCACAGGACGTAACATACACGTCAAATTTTCTCAAATTGATATAACAGCCCAGATAGCACAAAGAATCCAAAAAGAATTCTTTTTGAATTCCCAAATTATGAAATGAATTCTTTTTCTGTCCCATTTCTGTTCTAAATGTATTCTTAAGGGGATGCTGGAGTGGTTTGATTTACCGACAGAGTCGGATACCGTTTTTGCGTTTGTAAATCTTATTATTTGCATTTATGTACAAACTAATACCAGACCCAAGTGTAGAATGTATTAGTTTGTACATATAAGCTACATAATTATTTTCGTTTGTATCTATAATATGACATATTGAGGTTACGTTCCTTGAGGTAAGATTTACAAACCTCCAAAAACTGTATGCGACTCTGTCGGTAAATCAAACCACTCCAGCATCCCCTTAAGAGTTCCAAAAGAACTCACTTTTATGTCGCCAATTTGGAGCCCTTTTTCGCATCCCAAAAGGACTCTTATTATACTCCATAAGAATTTGCAATGAATCACAAATAATTTTTAGATAGTATTCTAATGGAGCACTATAAGGATTCATTTTTCGGTCTTAATGGATTCATAAACTGCTTTCGTCCAGGTCCAGGCTAGGGATAACGCTCTCGGAAACAACGAACCACGGTCTTACATAGGCTGCGTTCAGAAACATCACCTGAGTGTT